TACCTTCTGGCACCTTTATCATTATTATCCAGTGGACCATATACATCTTACTACATCCTTTATATGTTAATCTAATTTATTTCTTATGACCAGACCTTATCAATTAGAAATATGTAGTAGCATCCACCACATAGGAGTATATCTCCTCATAGTCTATTCCTAGTCTTTGTTAGAATCCTTCTGTAAGAAGTCATGCTTGAATGTTGTAAGTAGAAACATGAACAACTTTAGACCATGTGATCATGTTCTACATCTCACGATTTTCTTTCCCTCACAAGACCCATTTACAACCACTGGTTTATATTATATGGCGTCTCTATATATACATATGGCCAATACGCCTCTCTTTCTCTAGATACTCTAACCCCACGTTTCCATTTAATCTGATCTTACGAGTACTCTATTACGTGGGTTCATGATCCTCGCTTTATATCTATAAGTTCAAGTGCTACCTTTATGTGCTTCCTTAAATGAATCTATCATCTATGTGTCGACACTCTCATGTGGTTCCATGGTGTTCCAGACATTATCTAATCAATTTGAGATTCTTATCTAGGACCTTTATTACCTAGCAGCTTGGCGTCCCAAGCTACATGGTTTGGTACCTTAGATGTTCAGCTGGCCAACTTTATCTCCATGTCTGGTCTGGTTTCCTTTGACCTCGGATTTGTTATTATTCTATGCACCTTTCTCTTTTCTTTCCGAGGATTCTTATTTCATGGAACTTATTGGTCTACCTTGTCTAGACTCTGTAGCAACCTGACTGTGTCTCTTTAGGACATCAAATTCGTTGGTGCAAGCTGGTACTTAGTCATTCTTTTTTTTTTCTTTTTTTTTTCGGGTCAGCAAATGTGTCTAGCATTTGATTAGCTAGCTTTATAAATGTATAATCTTTGTATTTATCTTTGGACGTCTTATTTCACTTTCTTTAGTCCGAGGATCTTGCCAAGACAGTGATGGTTGATTTCATTCTATTTATTTTACTCTTTCACTTCTTTACCAGCTTATTACCTTCTCCCCCTTGATGTTGGATAGTCGGATTCATTAACATGCAATCCGTGTACCTGGCCACTAAACAAATCACTCATGGTCGGCTCTACGTATTAATATTAGTGGGAGATAACATATCCAACATATATTCTCATCCTCATCCTCTTCTAAGGATCCATCTTAGACGGCGCATATATCTGTGGTGGTTTTAACAAATCTGATCTTAAGATGGTATATGTCTGGCTCATGACCCGTAATCAATTTGAGATGGGAATATTTATGCTCACTAGATGGCCTGATGCGTATTGCTTATATGTATGTGAAATTCGTATGTCCCCAAGCCTTGGACTGAGAGTTTGGACCTATGGGTAATGGAAGATACAAATTTACGAGAGGATTCAGCCAAGCTATTTATAGTATGGACATGTGCGGATTTGTCCTCACTGCCCCCCCATGGACATACTATAATCTTTAAATGCTTGGTACATTATGGCCTAATAATTTTCCATTGTGTATATGTTACACACGTGATATTCTATGGGATAACTCTTTGTGCCTATTTGTATATCAAGCTTTGCATCACGTTTAGACCAGGATGGTCAATCCAGTCATGCCATAAAGTGAGTAATTTCGTGGTAAACACTTTGGTTACCATGGTATCTGCCTCTTATCATACTAATATTGGCATAGTAAAGATCAGTAGAGGATGCAGGTATAGTCTTGACTACTTTCTTATGGCCTTAGGCGATTTTTTGTTTTCTGTAATCTGAAGGAACTTTTATTTCCTTTGTCCATTGCTTCAATATGGAAACCATTCTTATATCTTATATCTCAATGGGTTTCTCTGAGTGAATATAAATCATGCCCCATAGGCAATGATACAATGCCCTGGCCGTGGTCCTTTATTGGACTTACTATACTTGCAATTCAAACTCAGATTGGCGTTTTTAATAATGAAAATCATTCATATTATTAAGAAAAAAACAGACAAGATAATAGCAATAAAATAAACTCAAAGAATCATATTATTATAAAGAAAGCATAAATAGCAAAAATGCAAACACCAAAATATAACAAAAACACACAGATTGTTGAAATTCATTTTCTTAGGCAATATGAAGTCTCATAATCCATAAGGTCATCTTGCTCATGATCAAAGTCATTTTCCCATCATTGTGGACCAAATGGGCTTCTGGATTCTTCTCTTTCTGGCTCTCTTGGTAGAGGTCACAAAGATGTATGGGAGTCCTACAATTCTTAGCCCAATGGTTGTCCATTCCACACCTGTGGCACACTGATTTGGACGAGTGTGGTGGTTTAGAGATACCACCATGTCCTCTACCTCGACCATGGCCGAAATTGGATCCACGACCACAGTTATAGTGGTTCCCACAGTCATGGGAGTTATAGTGTCCACACCCACCACGTCCTTTCCATCCACCACGGCTATGACCATGTGGTTTATCACTATGGATGTGGTTACTTTCTTTAGAATGTTTCTTTTCTTCTATAGCCTTATTGGCTTCTGGTAATGGGGCTGATCCAGGAGGTCTCATCGCACTATTCCTCATTAAGAGTTCATTGTTAGTCTCGGCCAATAATAAGCACGAGATCAGATCAGTATAGGTGGTGAAGCCTCTTTCTCTGTATTGATGTTGCAGCAACACATTGCTGGAATGGAATGTAGAGAAAATCTTTTCTAGTAACTTCTTTTTGATTAGTTTTTCACCACATAGTCTCATCTTTGCGATGATTTTAAAAAAAAATGAGTTGTATTCATCCACGGACTTCTAGTCCTGGAATCTGAGATTTCTCCACTCATATCTAGCCTTTGGTAGAAACACCTTTTTCTGGTGATCATATCTCCGCTGTAAGGCGGTCCAAAGGTTCAGAGGATTCTCCATAGTGAGATACTTCTTTTAGACCCTCAGTGAGATGATGGCGAATAATACTTATTGCCTTGTATCTATTTATATCATTCTCATTATTATCCTCGATGATAATCTCACCGAGTACTTTGCCTTTAGTATCTAGTGCCCATTGCAAATAGTTATCTCCAGAGAGATTAGGGCACCATAATCTAGAATGTAAATTTTCGACATCTGAAATCATATATCAATCAATTTAAGGTTTCATATTGTGGCTAATCAATCAAGACAAACAAATGTATATTAAAACAAGAATCTCGACCAAACAATTATAATCGACCATGGTGCAAAAACAGCCTAGGGTTCGAGTTCTATATGTAATCAATTTGATTAGGCCACACGGCCATGTGATATATGATGAAAGCAATTCAGATTCAATGAACAATTTACTATCATTCAACAAAGAACTTTAAGAAACAAACAATGAGCATTCCAGATTCATGATTAGGTTTAGGGTTTATCATCCTAGCAATTCTAGCAATATGCGCATAGGTATGGGTTTCCAGATTAGGGTTTCAATTATTAGGGTTTCAGATTAGGGTTTTAATAATCAATCTTAGCTAATGATCCTTAAACCTCAAAACAATTTAGAAAATTAGCAAACAGTTTTGTCAATGTGTGATTTAGGGTTTTCAAGGCCCTTTAAAGGTTTCAATTTGGAATTAGGTTAAACACTCAATCTAGCAACCTAAACCTCAAAGCATCAAACTATTTAATCAATCAAGAACAACAATCACACACGGATTCATAATTAGGGTTTAGGGTTTTCGATTCCACAATTTAGGTTTTAGATCGATCAAGCAATAAATCAAACAAAATATATTTTAGGAAATCAAATTCTTTTGCATAGAATGTATGTACATTCATGCGGTTTGATGTTTAAGATTTAGGGGATTGGTTTTAGGGGTTAACAAGATGATCATATGCCATTAGAATGGCTTTAGGGTTTTAGGGTTCGATCATTAGGTTTTAGGGATTAATCGATGTACCTTTGATTTTGTAGGGTAGAATTGGACCACCAAGAGAAGAAGAACCTTGAGCTTGATCGCGAGCTGGAACGAGTCGAATATCGGGTCGAGTTGGTGCTATCGGATCGGTTTGGAGCTTCTCGTGGTTGGAATTGTTGATCGGGTTCTGGAACTGAGCGGCTGGTCGGATTTGAATCTGAGAAGGAGGCTCGCGGATTAGGGTTCTTCGCGTGCTAGGGGTTTTGCCGGGAAAAGGAAAGAACCAAGGCGGCTGGTCGATGATCGCCGAGAAAAGGAAATCCGGCTAGGGTTTCGCCAAACAAAAAGGAAAGAGCCGATGGAGAACTTTGGTGATCGCCGTCGAGTAACTAGGGTTTTTTTCTGGTCGGGTTTTTAGCTTAAGGTTATAGAACAACTTGTGCTGATAACGTGTTGTAAACTAATGTGAGAATAAATGAATTAGTGTGTATATTACTCATAACATATGATCCCTTATATAGAGAACTACATGGGAGGTAAATGGAAAGTACAAAGCCAATACAAATATAGGAAATGATAAGTGTAAACTGTCGTATAAACTACACGGATTGGGTCTAGATAATATGGTTATGGTGCATTCACTAATTGGTTCATAGTTGAAATTATTTTATTTAATAGTTCTCTCAAAAATGTGTATGTAGGAAGAAAGACAAATTTAAGTAATCGAAAAGTTATGATCACTAGAGACGCAAATACGGCTAAGAAACGAGGACACACGACCCCCATTAAGCTTGCTTGTAATGATAGAGAGAATTTTGTATCATGTGCTGTGTTATCAAATAATAAAGATAGCAGTTGTAGAATTTATAAGTATGAGCGGCTAAGTGCTGGTTTGGTAAATGCCAATGGAGAGCCACGATCTCGTCTCGCTACTAAAAAGAGACGAAATCTACGATCAGACAAGTCTGAAGCAAAATACGAAAATAACTAAATCATGTCTTTCAGTATTTTAATAAAATGAGTAAGCTAAGAACTTCCTCATTGCAACAATCATAATAACGCTCTAAGTTGTTTTTATTTAACGAAACGCTCTAAGTTTTTTTGTCCTTTTATATCCAGAAAATCAATCACTATCTTAACCGGTGGGGTCTGTTGCTGGTTCAGAGGTCTGTTGCTGCTCCTGAACCGCCTTGTAGCATTTGAGGCTGCACAGAGGAACCTTAGTCTTTGAATCACGATACTTGTAAGGATTGGTGCATGATGGTCCCGCACAATTTTCTCGCGGAGGAGGATACCTGCAGAATCATACACAGAATGCTTTACATTGTTATCACAAGCCCATGACTTCCTCATCATGCTTTATGAAACGTTACAACACAAAACAAAATCCAAAGAACAAAAGAAGTCAAACTCTAGTCTAGAGCCTTCCTTCCTACTAAAAAAACATTTGAAGCATGTGTAGTTGTTCACATTTATCAGATCCAATCAGTTATGAGATTTGAGGGACATTGACTCAAGGATTAGTCTGATATGAGTTTGTGAGAAAGAAAAGAGAGTGCACCATACCCGGATGGTACGGGATCGAACAGGCTAGGCACTTTGTCAATGGGAAATGAAACAGTGGTTCCATTAGGTCCGATGATTGTTCTGATGTAGCTTGTCGCGGCCCTTTCCTCATGCTCAGCTTTCTTCTGTTATCAATTCACCACGCATACGACACCAAATTTTCAGCATCTCAGTTTCACTCAAATATTAACGCAACAACAGCATAATGGTGCATTTTCCCAATACCTGAGCAATTTCATCAAGTCGCTTTTTAATTTTGTCTTCACGCTTCTTCCTGCTCGAATCTTGGCCTAGAATTTTTCTGATAGCCTCCGCCTGTTGGAAAAAAAAACCAAGATCATCATTCCTCACATGGATTTGCCAATAACTTTTAATGTGCATATCCCGATAGAGAGAGAGAGTAAGACACCAACCTCAGACTCCCTTGCAGCCTTCTCAACCTGCACTCTTCGCCTTTGAGCAGCTTCTGCTTTCTTCACCTGCTGCTCCATCTCTGAAAGATTCTCCCTTTTCCCTATTTTTCAACAGAATTTCATCACAATACATTACCAACCTTTATTGCAAAAAAGAAGCATACTTGTGAATCTGAAGCAAAAGAAAAAAGAAGCATACTTCTAGTTGTAGGAGGCAATCCATCTGGAAATTCAATTGCGGTTGATTTGCCAGATGCAGAAGCAAGGGCTCGTTGGCGACTAGTCATAGTCGATTCCCTCTTAATCTCACTGCCAATCTCTATTCCATCAGCCACTGGTTCAAGTTCCTCCGCAATATCCATGTCATCAGAAGCCTTTTCAGATGCAGTCATCTGAATACCAGAATTTTCTCCAATTGTAACCCCAGATGGCTTCAATTGCCTCCTCCCCGAGACAGTCCCTTCGTTAAACACAGGGACAGTCTTATACTTGAGGCTTTCCACATATTGGATCTCACCATCAGTGTCATCATCGCTATCAGAAACCTGCTTCTTCAGAGCTCGTTTGCTCTTGCGAACCGAGCCACCTGGTTCTCCTTGTTTTCTCCTCCCTGTCATGGATTCGTTTTTCTCAGCGTTCCAAGTGACGCCCTCGAGATCAGCCTTCTTATCTAGAGGAGGGGAATTACAATCTTCTGAACTTTCCTGCCATTAAATGTCAAAAGATAATGAGTATGTGGTATCTAAACTGTCAAAAAAGCCTAGCAAAGATTTTAAGACACAATCTAATCCTTTCAGAATAACAAAATGAAATGCAAAATGCTAAACATTTTCTAATTGTTGTCCCTAAACAGCAAAAAAATTTACTAGTTTGAGCTTAATTAACATAGTCTAGTCCCCAAAACCCGAAAGATTATGGGCCATAAGGCCCCCCAAAGAGTAGCATTTACTGAAAAGAGCGTGGCATTTACCGCAAAAGATACTCAATGCAAAAGTATGATAAATCTCAATGATGCAAGACAATTCAAACAACTTGAGTTTTGTCAATATATCAAAGTAAGATAATATACCTCCAAATGGTTGTAAGTAGTACCATTCACCGGTTTAGAAGACTTTCGAGGTGAACCATTAGCATGAGCCAGACGACTCACACCACCAATCTTAAGCTTCATTCTCTTCCTTACACCAAAACGAGTTGCCTTTCCATCGACCATCCCATCACCACCCTCATCTCCCATGCCATTACCTTCAGCTGAGCGTTTGTTTCTACTGATGATCTCTCTCCTTAGAGAATCATTGTTTCCTCTTTGGGAATCAGCCCTAGATATACAATGGCTAAGACTAAACTCTTTCCTTCTAGGGTTAGTATCAAATGCGGGTATATCATCACTCGAGATCTTGCTGAAGTGATCTGAAGAAGGTGTTAGAAATATTGATCCATCAGTGCGAGGACGACGAGAAGTAAGGCTGCGTTTCTTCCTCACGGTGTTCTTCATAACATCAAAATAAGAACCACCTCCATTATCTTCCATTGTAGAGAGGCATATACAGTCTCAACAGATGATGAAGTGATAAACCGAGAAACCTCCAAGGTGGAACACTGAGAAGCAAAACATGTGATGGTGCATTAGACCAATCAAATATATAGAGGGATCTCACAAAGAGAGAAGCTATGGAATGATGTTACATCAGAATCTCAGATCAAAACAAAAAATTGAAACACACCTAAACGCAGAATCAACACAATATTCGAAGAACTGAACCCAATATCAAATGAGAGATGACAAAAGAGAGAAGCTTTGGAACAAGAATTGAAATCCAACGAGTGAACACAATATCTTACTTTGATATGATCTCTATAGCGAATCAACACACAATATCCAGATCAATTGATCGAATCAAAATCCAACGATAAACAGATCATCACAAGAAACATTCAACCGCGAAGAATACCTAGATCGCTCAGCAAAGATGGAGACGCAGAATCTGGAGGATAGAGAAGATGCTGATGATGACAATAAACCCCAACGGTAGGATTTGGGGGAAAAGGTCGAGGATTGAATCCAGGGAGAATTAGGGTTAGGGTTAGAGACGAGAGAAGAGGAAGAAGAAGAGAAGTAGTAAAGAGGAGAGGGGATAGTAATAATCTCATCATCCTTCACCATTTGTTGTGCTATTTCAACACCCATCCAAAAAAGGCATAAAAAAAAAATCTAAAGATCCCTTTTTTATCGGTTACATAAGGCCTTTTGCTTCTCCCTTCCCCTCTTTGGACTGATATAGACTCGGTGAGCCAACTCAGATTGTAACTCGAGTCGACTTTCAAATCCCTCTCGTTTGTTGTTGTTTCCTTCTTTCTCTTCTCTCTCTCTCTGCTGCGTTTATTTTGGGCTTTTTTGACCCGTCGGTGGTGCGCATGTTAAGAAGATTCTTTCCTGCGTGTATGTTAGCCCATCCATGTCCTTCTCAAGGTCACGTGTTCTCCTTCCACTTGGTGCATTACAAAATAATAACAAAGAGAAACCTTTTTTTTTGTTTTTGAAACTTTGATTACAAAGAGAACTATTACAAAATAAGATGATGCAAATGCATCATGGTTGTATCATAGGTTGGTTTAGGGCTAGCATAATTACTCCTTATTCGTGGATCTTATATTCGTTACATAGTTTGGTTTAGGGCTAGCAAGATTACTCATTATTCGTGGTCTTATATTCGTTACTCGTTCCCTACATGTCCCGATTTTTCAAGTACTCATTGTCAAACCAATACCAAATAACAGAATTTAAATATTTGCAAGTATAATAAAAATAACAAATATGAAGAAAAAGTTTAGTTACTCGGTTTGATATTCACCCGTTACTTGTTCACAAAAAAAAAAAAAAAACAATTTTCTCGTTGTAAGAAGTGCATTATCAGGGACAAATGTCCCACATCGATTGTTGGAAGGGATCTCTAGCAATATATAATATAGATGGGTCACTCCACTTATCACCAATTGGTTTTAAGTTGGAAGCCCATCTACCTTAATATGGTATCAGAGCCCACGATCCACACAGTCCAACCCGATCTTTATCGATCCAGCCCAAAGTCGGCCAATCGATCCTTGACCGAGCATTCCGAGATTGATGCCAGAGAGCCATCATTTCGAGGGGGCGTATCAGAGACAAATGTCCCACATCGATTGTTGGAAGGGATCTCTAGCAATATATAATATAGATGGGTCACTCCACTTATCACCAATTGGTTTTAAGTTGGAAGCCCATCTACCTTAATATGCATAATGTTTCATATCGAGAGATTCATGTTTTTGTTCATTCTTTTTTTTTTATAATATTAGAATATACACAAATGTTTCGTTTATAGTAACACACATGTTCTTTCCTAGTAAAAGTAACTAAAATAAACTCCCATAATCATTTTAGTAGAATATTTTATTAACAATTTCTTTTTAATATTTGGAATTACTCGCAATAGATCATTAGTATTTGCAAATAGTGAATTAAAGACCGATATAAGTAATTTGAAAATAGCTCATTTTTAAGTAAATGCTTGAATAATAAATATTCGTTTTTAATAAGTCAAATATTCGTACAAGGTAAATATAAAATAGCAAGTATCCAACTTGTGTCTAAACCCTAGTTTTTATTAGTGAATAGTGGTTTATGGTAAAGTTTAAAGAATCAAATTAGAGTTGAATTATTTGGATTTCAAGACTACTGCAAAAGCTTTTCGGTTTTATATATACAAATAGAAATTTTTTTTGGAATAGTATCGTGTATATAAGTAAGCTTCATTTTCTTGAAATATACTATTTATATTTGGTAGGAATAAGTGAAAATATATAGATTTTTTTTGATAAAGGGCTATTGAAAATCTATAGATTATCCGGTGATCTTTTCGTAATTGCATAATTATTTTGAGACGTTTAGCATGGTTCATATTCTAAATTCACAATACCTTTGCCAACTCTTTAACTAAACAGGGTAAACCACGACTATATTGTTTTCACATGTAAATTATAAATTATGATGGGATAAAAAAATTCAAAATTTTTTATTTTATATCAAAACTTAATTTAATAAAATAAGTACTCGGCAAAAAAACCCCATTGGATATGCATGGGTAAATGTTTACAACCTATAAAAATTTGATTAGTTTTCATGTATTCCATAATTTTAGATATTTTTGCTTATTTGTCATATTTTATAATTTTGAATAATGATTAATTATTACTCAAAATAAATAATTATATTTATTAATATATAATTAACTATAAATTAAAAAATAATTAGCATATAATTAACCTTAATTTAAAACAATTTTCATTGATTGGAGGATTATCATTATCTAAAAATAGTTTATATCAATTAACCATAAAATAAAAGCAAATTAATATATAGTTGGCCATTAGTTAAAAATAAATATCATTGATTTGATGATTAACATTATCTAAAATAATTTATATTATGTTATAAAGTCTTTATTAACGTTAATGAATAATTATATTTGTTAATATATAATTAATCATAAATTAAAAAATAAATCCACTGATTTAATAGTCATCATTGTATAAAAATAGTTTATGTTGTATTATTCAAATAATATTTTACATTAGATTTTTTTTAAGTCTTAAATTACAAAAGATGTATCCCTATATATTTTTTACAATATTAATGCATATATTACTTTTTTAAGATTTATTATACACAATAAAAGATAATTTTATTACATTAACAAATGTTTCATATGTAAAAAATGAATATTAAGTTTATAACTAAATATTTTAAAAGAATTAGTGTTTTTAAGTTTATGTTACATGATAAAATATATTTATGTTAGGATAAAAACTTATTTATATAAATATTTTATTATTTAATCTTTGTTAAATATTTTGAATGTATAAATAGTAATTTCTTTTAATTGTGTTTGAACTTATATTTTATTTAATATTTGTAAAGTTATTATACGTGCGGGCGAAACATCTAGTTTTTTATGAAAAAAGCAGTGGAAGTTGACACTTGATGATGATTATATAGATATATATATACACAATTTTCTAAATAACTTGATGATACGTTTTGCTCAGGCATAATTTTTCTTAGACTACTTAATGACATATCTAAGGAGATTTTTTTTCCAAAAGTTTTGTTAGCAAAGACATTTTATTTGTAGGACTGATAAAAGAATTACAAAGCACAAGATTATACATTCATTGTATGTGCCTGGGAAAAGTTTCATCGTTTTTATTAAAATAGGTTTATAGATGAAGGGTTAAAGATATATTTTATACAGCCATTTTTACAGATTATATTATTAAAGAAATAACATAATAGAGTTTATATACCTTATCAAACAAATATTTTCAAAATTATATTGATGAAAATATTTCGATAAATTTTGGCTGAAAGTCTAAAAAATATTTTGTTTTTTTATTTGTTAGCCATCAATTTTAAGGATTTTGATCTCTTAAACTTCTTAATAGGATTTTATCGGTGCTTAACACGGTTTTATTTTATTTTATTTAAAATTTTAAACTTGTAATTTTATTTTTAGGAGTTTGACTCACATTCAAGGCAGATATTTTATTTATAATTAATTAATTTTTAGTTCAAATCTATCAAATTATAAATTATACAGGATTAAACATTTGAATGTGGACGAAAATGCAATATATATTTATATAAAAGAAGATTTCACTCATTTTTAGTTCCTCCACGTCAGCGCCATATCACAAAGTCGACCATGCACGTGTCCGTACGACATTATACTTTGCGTTTCATTAACTGGTTCCGTAGTGGGCTGTGCAAATTTCACTTGAAATGGGCTTCGTATTGTCTGCTTTCGGCCCAATCAGGAAGTAACCCTAATACATTACCTCTGAAGGAACGAAGGACATGGCGACTCTCATCACGGCAAATCTTGCCATTTCCGATTCTTCCTATTTAATCACCTTCATTCGGTCCCCCACTACGTTAACATCAATGCTTTGTATTGAGATGATAGATTGGGATTCTGTATAAATATGTGTTAGTATTTTTCTCCCTTGATCTTCTTTTTTCTTCAATGCTCTTATATAGATTACCTTTCAAATGGCAAACAATAGGGGTTTTTTCCTCTGATTTGAAGTCCGGAAAGTGCTCTTCCGGCGTCGAGGCTAGACTCCTCCGCTTCTGGGAGGCGAGAAGTGCTAGGCGGGGTGGTGAACTGACGTGTCCCAATATGTTAATGATCGATGTGAATGTAAGACTGCTATTACTTTATATAGATGAACATTAGATTTTATTATTCCAGTGGTTTTTTTTATGCTTATTGGTTCTTATGTCTTGATTCTGGAAATTTTCGAACAAAAAAGAATCCGTTCCATTTCTGTTTGTATATTGGTTCTTAGATGTATGGTGCTGAATCTTATATGTGCATGGTTGTTTGATTTTATATTCCGGAAAAACTCTTTATGTTTCTTAACTCTCGATTCTGATTTGTTCCAAAACTATGTTACATGGGACTATTATGCAGGCGAAGATCAATGCTGATC